CCGTCTCCTCACACTCTTCATTATGTTACTCTCATGGTACGTTCTCTCCGAGTGAGAATTCTCTCGTGTTCCACGTAATGTCTTAGGCAACGGCGTCAACGGTCATACCCGTCAAGATAGCCGTGGTGACAACTCTACATGTCATCTCCATCATCATCTGCTACATACCATCGCAAAGGCTCCTCACTGCAGCTATCCCAGTCTTCGCCAATTTGATTCTTCGCGTGTTAGGTCCCCCTCTTCCCCACTCGACTGCTTTTACCCATAGTCCTCCTCAGGCCTTACCGTGCATCAGTATGGTGATCGCCTCTCTTCACGAGAGGTCCCTATGATAGCAGCCAATCATGTTTCATACCTCGACATATACGTGAGTCATAGTGGGACTAACTTTACAGTAGGAGTATTGTAGGTGTTGGAGAGCTGTGGTGCTACGCCTCTGTCGTTTGTGGCCAAGAGGGCTGTCGGAGACATGTTCCTCATTGGTCAGCTGGCTCGAGCTTTCGATTGCGTGTAGGGAAAGGAACCTATAATGTTCACGTGGGGAGGAGCTCATTTTTAATTTTCCCACATGGCTAGGGACACACTTTTCGACCAGTTTCCCATGTCACTACATTAGGAGCATTTTCCCCGTTGTTATCAAACTCTGGGAGCGTTGTCTCTCAAAGGTAGATCGGTCCCCGCGCGTAGCTCCTCCGAGCGAGATATCGTAGTTCTGATGCGGCCCTTGCACTTTAGGTTTGTCAGTCGTAGTAAGTGTCCGAAAGAGCGCGGGGATGTGGTGGCGGAGATCGAGAGGAAGCAGAAACGTGAACATTACAAATTCCATCACTACCATCGACCACAGCCCTCCCTAGGCGTCATCACCGGCTCGACCGTGTTCCAGCTGTGTATATTCCCTGAGGGCACGACGACCAACGGCCGTTCGATAATTAGATTTCGGAAGGGGGCCTTTGAGGGCTCCTTTCCAGTAGTACTATTGTGGTCACCTTTGTAGCACTTGTTGCATCGGCAGGTGCAGCCTGTGAAGCTAGCATACAGCTCTCCTCATTGTGCTTACACCTGTCTCGACTTACTTTATCACATACTCATATTCCTATCACTGGCCTGTACTGAAGACATTCGATGTGACGTCTATTGGCTACCCAAGGTGAGATCCCAGAACCTCCTATCACATGCGTGACCATTGTGTAGGTCGAAGCATCTGAGGCAAGTGCCTCCACTGGGGTAGATCTTGCCAACGCCACCCGTTTATCTATCGCTCATGAGAAGTGTGGCCCGTGAGTTGCCATCTATTAGAACTACGTGCCTTGGTGGTCGCCTCAGACAGCTCAGTCTCGATGACGAGGCAACTTTGGAAGGCCACTGTGAGATCACTGACTTCCTCCTGGGAGTGGACACGTCGCGATCGACTCCTGCCGTCCCTAGAAGGCATACGAAATAACAAGATTGATATCAATTCTATTTTTTTATTTTCCGTTTTTCCTATCTGCATTGCATTGTGTGATATTTGATTGTTGTTACTCGTCAATGTCTGTCCTCAGCTGGCGAACTTAATGGACTACGGCGAGGCTTTAACTACTGGGAGGAGCGTTGCTCACTCGCAGTTTTGTTGCTGCTTACGAAGCCGTACCTTTTAGTTCGTCGGGATGCCCTCATGGTTTACTACTGATTCATCAGAGAGAATGTCCCTACTTGGCATGCGTACATGTGGGCCCAAGGGAGGGAATCCAATCGCTTGGTAGATGGGGTTGGGGTTGTTCAAATACTACGAGCTTACGAGCGACTGTGTAAACGCTTGGCATGAACTATGTCTGTGGTGGAGTGACTCCACTGGAGTCCGTGAGTTGGAGTGGCACTAAGGGCCAGTTTGTGTGCTCAAGTGTATTGCCGTGACGTACTTGGCAGGGTTCGAAGGAACATTGGAAGAAGCTGCCGAAACGGGGGAAAGTAAGTTGGCTGGTGAAGGTATGTAGTAGTCCTTGAGGTATCAGTGTTACAGACTCGGAGGGGTCATAATCAGCTCGTAAGGCTGCTGCCACCTATGCAGATCGTCAAGAGCATCATTGTTGTTGATGTCAATGGTAGAGTAATGTCGTCCTTTTCGTCTTTGAGATCAGGAGGAAGTCTCCCATTGTACGCATGTACCTTATCCATTTTGTGTTTCCCCCAGAGGCCCGCAATTGATTAGAAACTCATAGCAGCTTGTGTGTTTTTCTGATGCTCTCACGGTTATCAACATATCGAGGCATGTTCACTCAGTCCGCGTCGCGGCTAGATATGTGGGGTATCCGTGCAGGCCCTGGCATCCTAGCTATCGAGGACAAGTTCAGGGTCTCCAAAGAGGCTGGTAGAAGACCCCTTGCCCCGTCAATGCAACCATGTGCCCTTGGTCAGATGCTCGTGAGCTTGCCCAGCTCATTCAAGGAGTTCTCCTACAGCCTGGTGATGCTCTCGTGCTCCAAGGGGTGGGCTTTGAGGCCTGGGAGATGTCCATAGTAGTATTGTCCCCTCAGATGGGTGCTCATGCTATCAACAGTGCAGTGAAGGCAGCGACGATCGCGGCACAACGCTTCGGCCGTAGCACTCCACTGACGGTCCACTTCACAGGGCCTGCTCCTGGCTTAATAATGAACTCTCGTGAGGCGCCTTCTCCACCTGTGAGTCGCCAACGTGGGTAACCGAACTGTTCAGAAAGACGTGACTATGAGATTTGGTTGGTGGTGCGTCTCGGTGATGCGCCTATGGTACCCGAACTCCCAGAAGAAACCCGTGCTTTGATCGTCTCGACGGCGACTCGTGTGCATGCCCTAGCAGGAGCTATTACGAGCTCACTGAAGGAGAATACTCCTGTTGACCTCCACGGTGAGTTCTCTTTATATGAACACGCTGTGCTCACAACAATATCGCAGGAATCGGCCCGGTTTGTGTTCACAAGATGGCCGAGGCGCTAACCGTGGCGGCAGAATTCTGTCGAAAGGAGAAACTCGCCGGAGAAGTGCTGGTCAGGCCCTCCTTTTACCAAGTCCAGAGCGACTCCGGTAGATAGAGAATTCCATATTGATTGAGATTATGTGGTGTTTCAGGGTATACGCGCTCTGGTGACACTAGCATCAGTGGCATCAACCTTCGGGTCCGTATAGAAGATGACATCCAAATTGATCGCACCTTGACATGAGTATTGGCGTCAGTTTCTGACATCACTGTCTCATGTTGTGCTGACGATGAGTTGCCCCCTGTCCCTTTTATATCCATTAATGGTTCGAGGGCTTCTTACAATAGCCCGACCGTTGCTCGTGGCAAGGAGGATGGCGACGAGAGAGATGGAGGGATGCGAGAATCGTTTCAGAATTTCACGCAGGGCTGGTAAGACATTCGTGATATCTGAAGTCCCCGGGCTAGGTGCCCTCAGATGTTTCCGAACTTGGTAGAATGGCCCATCTCTACTTACGGAAAAATGGCGACATTCTTGTTTTTGAGGCGGTAGGTATCAGTGACCTTTTCCTCGAAAGGACGTATGCCAGGTGGGGACGGAGGCCACCTCTATCGCCTTGAAGGCTGCGGCTGCGGCGATGAAACTCGCGGATGAGAAGAAACCCATTGAGATGGAGATCACCGGACCCACCGAGGAGATAGCGAAAACGATGGGAAGTAAACAGTGGGGTGCTCACTCAGAAGGAATCACTTTAATAGCAGCTTTCGCCAAGCGCAATAGTTGGATCACACTATATAAAACACGGAGAAGTCCCGACACTGGAGACGGAGATGCACAAGAAGCCCCTCCGAGACTTACCGCTAGCGCCGAGTCCGATAGAGTGAAACTCGCCGGAGCCATCTCGCTATCCCTACGAGAGCACCCGTATGTCGAGATTCAAGGTGATCTTGTAGACAATATCTTATTCGCTGTTGGTAGATTTCATACATGTAGGTATTGGTCCGCTTTGCATGAGGAAAATCGTGGAGGCTTTGGAGATCGCTGGGGCTCAGTGTATGTCGAAGGCTGCTTCTTATCCCCTATCTGACTGAGAGTCTCAGGTGACGATGGGCGGGGTCGGTGTATTAGAACGACCGCGAGGTTCGAAAATGTACCATGCGGAAAAGGTATGACCTATTTATCTTAATTGAGTATAGTTTGAAATGTAGGTATCAGTAGAAGTGGGGAGCCATACATTACTGCTATGATATTCCGGCTACGACTAAATCGATCGAATAGTGAAGAGCTCCCATCCGACGAAGAAGGCGACACCTAGCCATGCTTGTTTCCGAATGTGCGATGCTTTGCGTTGCTCAGTAGTCCGCTGGGAACTATGAGGAAAGTGTAAAACTAGTGACAAGTTCACGATGACGAAGTCATCGCTATGATGATTTATGTTCATCGTAGCGGCTTGGGAGATTTAGCCGCTGGAGCTCTTCCCTTATGCATTGGCAAACATGACAATTACGAGCGGCAGAAACATGTCATTCGGACAACGATAAGAGCATGCAGGAGAGGTCAGTGACGACCACGATCGATGAACTCGAGAACATCCCCTTCTTGGACGACATAGTCCTTACCGCGATTCCGGATCAGACCTAAACAGTTTTATCAGATAGGTCTGCTGTAGCAGTGAGAGGCGGCCTCACCGGCATCCCTCACACCAGCTAAGCCTCCACGTTTAAGGACCTCCTCTGGCCGACACTGCTTGGCAGTGAGGAAGAACCTGCTGGTCAATAACAACTGCGAGGTCCATAATCCCCGAGGTAGTCAGCGAAGAAGGAAACCAGTATATTAGACCGTATCATACGAAACCTCTGAGATGTGGCTACTTTTCGAAATCTGAATGGACGTATCGAGCAGCCGCAGGGGCTTTCTCCCCTTTTTGAATGAACCATGCCCGAGCCTCTTCACTTCCCAAAGTATAGTAGTGGGAAACTCCTGAGCATCGACCAGTTTGACACAGACCGCTGGAAGAACGCTTGAGGGTACCCAAGAGACCCTTCACTTTCTCCATCATGCGTGGCAACCTAGGCTCAGTGAGGCCGTATGAGCTCAAATAGTCAGCCAAGAAGGCGGCATCACCACCGAGAGAGCTCGTCTCCTCTTCTAGTATAGAGGAGGCCTGTGAGAGGTTGCCCAAGTTACGGTATGAGGTGGGCGTGGCAACTCACCACCACCAGCTCAACACCCCGAGGGCACTTCTCTCCAACATGCTTCTGCAGAGCCTCCGTGTGTTCATTGCCGGACTTCACGTCTTCAGGTAGAACGTTGGCCATGACCAGTATCGGCTTGGCCGTTATCAACACGCACAGCAGGGGGTCGGTCAGCATCACCTGGACACCCAGAGGACTTCGGCTGGGCGATAGATGATACGGTGGTTACTCTAGCCCCAAAGGTCTCCATGAGCTTATCAGTATCGAGAATATTCCGAACGGGTACTCCCTCCTCGAGGCCTTTCAACCACGTCTCATACAGTGGGAGCATCTACCATCGGATAACTGTGAACCCAAGCCGACCCATCAGCCCACTTTCTTAGCTTCGGGCTCGGCACACGCTCGCTTCCTCAGACTTGGCATCTTCCGTGTCACCATTTCAATGTCCGCAATAAGGAGCTCGTCCTGACATATAAAGGCCTTGGAAGGGAACTCGTTGCTGTGCCGGAGCCTCACAGAGATCGCCTCGAACTCCGAGACTGGATCGATGTTCACAGGGTCATCCACGTGGGCAATCTTTGAATCCGAGAAGCAGCGTACAACCTGAAGCGATGATGCTATAACGGGGGAGTAGGAGGAGTGATCGTGAGACTTGTATAATGCAATGAACATGTCGTATATTAGCAAGGAAGCTATTGCCCATCCCTTGGCCCTCACTGGCACCCTTCACAAGCCCAGCGATGTCTCTGACCTCCAACTGACCGGCACAGATGATCACTCTGAGCAATGTGCCGGTAGTATACCTGGCCAGGGACCTTCCTAGCGGACCCTTCCACTCTTGCTAACTCATCTAGGAGGGGGTCAGGGACGCTCGCCTTAGAGATATTGGGTTCGATCGTGCCTAAGCCCCATGAGGTTAAGCGTGTTGAGCAGAGAGGAAGCTACAGAAGGGAAAGTTGGCTGCTTCCGCCAGCTGAGCTCCGATGATGGCGTTAAAGGTTGTCGACTTGCCAACGTTAGGATAGCCGACTAGTCCACAAGACTTGTTGAAGTGCCGCACTTGTTGTAAGGCAGCAGCAGTGGCAGCATTGGAGATGCACCGACTACGGCATGCAATCCACGTTGAGGATGAGGCCATGCAAAACTAAAGGAAGCATGCAAGGCAGTGTATGTAGACCTCCGACAGACTCGACATCTTGTTACAGTCGTGAGAGTGTAGACTGGCAACAACCACCACAGAAACATGCCACTATCCATTTCTCGAGTGCAACTAGAGTAGACAATGATAGAGTCTTCGTTATAATGCCATTTGTGACACGAATGAATGCAGTTTCTCAACGTAAGCATCACCATCTTAAGCTCTACCGAGGCCCACCCAACACCAGTACGATCGGCCCCGGCTCAGAGT